CTCCAGCCTATCAGTACAGATTGTTCTGTAAAGCCCTGAAATGTATTGTATCTATCTGATCTGCTCTAGCATGCTTCTTTTCTATAGCATGATGACCAAAATTGTACACAATGTTCTACTGTAAATAAGGCCTTATAAGTGCATTATAAACTTTTAATGTACTGTAACATTCCTTGATTTAAATTATATGCTTGTAACTACTGTATACTATATTTTAGTTGCCTGGCCAAATTATCTAGAATATATAAATGATGTGTCAACATTAACAGCTAGGTCTTTTTATATGTAGCCTCTTCTAGCTCAGCATTTCCCTTTCTGTATTTTTAGTTTCTATTTTTACCACCTGCCTGCAAAAACCCTGCTCTTTTATACATTAAATTATCTCTTCTAGGTGTTTCTTCAGTCCTTTATCTATAATTTTATGTAGAATTTCCTTTGTAGTTTCTATGGTGTTTGTTAGGCCTCTTAATTTGCTATCTTGTTGGTATCAAACTTGATTAATTTATTACATATACAGTACCAGAATCAGTTATATAAATTCGCCTTAATTTGAGTATTATCCCCTTATCTGTGAAAAATACTTTCACCATACAAATTGAAACAATTCTATTACTACCATTTGTTTTCTTAAACCAATTCTCAATCCAAACACTCCAAATGTACTTTAAATGCCATCTACCTGTCATTTGATCATCAATCATTTATGAGACACTTTTTTAAAAGCTTTTTGAAAATCTAAATACAGTACATCTTTTCCTAGGATAATATTTCCAGATACAGTAGGTGAAAATCTAGTTTAGTTCAAATAATTGGTTACATAATTGTGCATGTAATAGAACTATTGGTATAATAGCATTTTTCCAATCCCTGGGCTCTACTCCTGTCTTGAGTGACTATTGGAAGAGTTGTGTCAATGGTTTCCAAATACAATCTCTTATTTCCTCTAATATAATTGGGAAGACACCATAAGGCCCTGGAGATTTATTAACCTTGAGTGCTTTTAGTACATGAAACACTTTATCCACTTTTATGTTAACACTCTTTAGCACAAAAAGTTTACCTTCCACTGCTTTGAGCATTACCTTGTAACCACTCAGGTAACACTAGGCAACCAACAGACACCAGCAGTTCCGCTATACAGCTGGTCATCTTGAGAAGTGACCAATTAATTTGGCAATTGAATTAAGGGAAAATGTTACCCTTTCGATGGTGAATTTTAATGACTAAATAGTCATGATCTCAGTTTGAGGTCTTATCTGAATGTATTATAGAACAGTATCCCCAGTCATCCTACTGGAGAACTAGTTTGGAAATTCTGTTCCAGAGGGTAAAGTGCATACTGGTCCACCTCATCACCTGTTTAGTGTGAATGCCTGTTTCATGTAATATTATAATTATAATATTATACAGTATAGCACTCTGAGGCGTTTGCACTCTAAATGTTTTTAGTCTTTATACTGTATACACATGGATTTACAGTAAAAAACATAATGCAAGAAACCATATATACACCACAACAGGACACAATATCTCATCTCTTTAAGACCTGCTTTAACAGTTTCAGGCAAATGTTCATTCAAAAAGAATGACACATCCGAACAGATTTGAACTGGCTTAGATCAGGTATTGACAGCAGTAATTCAAAATACCGTGAAAACTATTTTCACCATACAACTTGAATAAATGAGGACTGTATTGAAAAACCCATTGTTTCTTCACATACTGTACAGCTAACACATTTAATCATGCAATCATCTAAACTACTACTGCTATGTATAACACCTACAGTACTGTACCTACTGACTCATGTTTCCATCATTGCACACTATTCATTTTGGGCACAGTGTTATACAGTATCTTAAAATATCCGCATTAACATTGTCAGATAGGTTTTTATATGGCTAATCTGAGAGATACAGTAAGTAGTACTACAAAATAAATAGGGGAGTTACTGTATAAGCACTGGGGATAAAAACAAATCTTGTAAAGAATATCAAAGAACAGTGCATTTAAATTATATCATTGCAGCCTAGCCCACAATACTGTATGCTCGCTTCCACAAACTTCTAATTATTGTTACGTACAGCTAACCTTAGGTGTGGAGAAAAGAAAAAAAAAACAATCCCCAACACTGCTGAGGTTTTCTTTAAACCTTTGTAATGTGAAAAAAAGGTTAAGGGGACAAACTTTGGTCTGATTATTTCACAGTTCACTGGAGCAAACTATTTACAAAACCAAAGCATTTTAAATTGTGAAATAAAAAAGAGGGAAAAAGTACGAGGACTTTTTACTGAAGCCATTGTCTCAGGGGAGTTCAAAGCACATGAATGCAAGGTTTCAATTCTAATTGTGCAATATTTTAAGTCCAGTATATTGGATAAATAATCCCTTGATGTTTAGTAGCAAGATATCTCTCTTCCAAATTAAGATGGTTCTTTCAAAATAAAACTATACATTACATTATATGCAGTACGATCCTTTCTTTAAAAAAGACCCACCTTACCAATACTACAATGTGATTTTCATTAGAGGAACTGAAAAAAGCAAACTGTTGATTTAAATTATTCAAGAGTATTGGATTTCTTTTCATTTTTAGGACACAGACCTTTGAAGCATTTTCCTTAATAATACTCACTTCAATTTTAGATTTGATTTTCCAACTGGCTCCACTAAACCTCATTTTAGTTGTTGAAAGGAAGCGATGATAAAACAGATGACAGCACTTTAAAAAATTAAAACAGTTTTGGTCTAGAAGTGTTGAAACTATGGTAAAAGTCCGATTTTATTTACTTGCAATCTATTTAGTAATTGCTTTGTAAAAAACAAGCATTTTGGGAAACTGACCATCTGAATTACATTATTTTTTTTGTTTTGTAACACTGTTTAATCTATAATCTATAATGGATTGTGTTAGTAATTGTGTTACTCTCTTTTGTTTTGTGCGTTATTTCCTTTCTTAAGGGAAAAATAAGATGTAATCTGTTAACTACCACATTGAATCATTCAGTCCTAAAATGCCAGTTTATAGATTGTTGAAAATATATTATATATTCCTTTATATGAAAAGCATAAATGCATTTTGTTAAATTGTTCATTTGAGTAAAGATGATCTGTCTCTGCTGCTTTACAGTGCCCTATTGCAATAATAAATTGAATTGTCCTTGAAGTGTTAATACAAACTTGCGAATACCCTACTGGCACTAACAAAATACACCTTATCAAAATTGTATCCAGGCTCTTGGGCTCAGAGCTGACAGAGATTAAGAAGAGAATTTACAAAGTCTAAAATATTTTTCAAACCAAAACTGAGAATATGGGGACTCACAACATTAACCTGTCAATGTGTCAATATTCATATTCTATTTGCTTCACAGTTTTTTGTTTTAGAATAATTAATAAAGTTAGGAGTAATACTAGCGTTGGTGATACTAACAGTAGTGAAGATAATGAGCAATTCCTTTAATATTAAAAAACTCACTGTGTGACACACATCAGAACCATTGCACATTGGTCCAGGAGACTGTACTGTAGTATTTACTTGTGTACTAATCAATTACTCCCAAAGTGTAAAGCAATGTGCAATGATAATATAAATGAGTATAAAATACCCCTAGAAAAAAATGATCGAACGACAGTGCATTTTGTTAAAATATAAAATATTTATAAAATATAATTAACAATGTATTAATTAGTGAGTAGACGGAAAAGTCCACAAGCGGTAAACGTGATCGGATTGAGATGTTGCATAAAGGAATTAACTTGCAAGCTGTACACCCAGGGGTACAAATTACTCTTTGTTTTACAGAGCTAGATATACAGTATGAGCTGCTTTCTTATGACTTATTCATGTTGAAAATTTAACTCACAATACAGGTGATTGTGTGCAAACTTTTCTTTAAATCATAAATAAGCATATACAGTATGTATCCTGCTCAAAAATGATTAAGCATGCAGTTTTGATTAACACAGACCACTTATAAATAATTCATACCAAAACTAGAAATAAAACTAATAAGCAACAAAGGACCTTGTTTTAAATTGAATTTTTAATATTCCTTTTAGAAAATGAATGCATTCTTCTCACAATAAGAAAAGCGTGTTAACCTGTTAATAAATTGTAAACATTTGTACTGTGTTTTGGTAATTAATGTGCTGAATTTAAATGGATTTATTTCCATGAAAGGTGATTAAGAAGCTGACAATTCATTATGTTAAAATTCAAGTTTTATAATTCTTAGAAAGAAATACTTGAAATTTCGATTCAACCTAATCAACCATTACCTGCTAGTTAAATAGCTAGTTAATATCTAAATAGAAAATAAGGCCTTTTAAGAACTCACTAAATGTTTTTTTCAGCAGATAAAATTGCAATCTTTCCCAACTATATGGCTATAGTAAATCTTTTACTGAATAAACAATTCTTTAAAATGTTTTGTGCAATAATGCTACAGCAAGATGCTTTAAACCACAATAAAATCATAAAGCAGAAGGTAGATTTATTCTGGCAAATACAGTAATCATACAACTCAGAAAAAGACCACAATCACATTACACACTAAAAAACCTCACAGTCACAAAACCAATAATATAATGCTCAGGCAGCACAGTAAAGATGCTGAAAGCAAGCTGTATGAAAGACATGGATTTTCTTTAAAGAAATAAAGGTGTATTTTGTGCAGAGAGCGTGAGGCAAATTATTAGAAAAGAAACCAATGGTTAATGTGAATTATAGTAGAAAACCATAAATTGAACGTCAACAACTTACTTATAAACCATTAGCCCTTTAAATGCTGCCACCAAAAAATCAAACAGTCAAATGCTTTGAGCACAAATGACAATAAAACCACCAAAAGGCAAATAATATCACAAACATAAAAACCAGCACGAGCACCTACGAATACACACATGCACTCATGCACAGTGCCAGCCAGAGGTGCATAGGTACTGTACTGTATATCAACTCTAAGAGACACAGGCAGCATGCAGAGATGTGTTTGTACCTGGTGATCTCAGAGTCAGGGAGGAGGCCTATGTGATAGTGAGGGAAAGGAATTGAGTGGAGGAGGCTTTTATCACATTCAACAGGGGAATAGTGGCGGGGAGAAGGTGGTTTGTCACACAGTTTGTTCACAGTGCTGTAAACTGGCTCAGGTGGCCTGGTGATACAGAAACAAGAGCAAAGAAAGGAGTTAAAGACAGAGAGTAAAAAAAAATAAAATAGTATTTTGTCGCTGAATACAAAAGTGAGAGATGAATACAAATATGTAATTTACAGTACGTTATGCGAATAACCACCCTAAAAGCCCTAAACAGTAAAACATACAATATATTGCATTGCTACTGACTGTGAACAGTATTTTGTTATTAAATGTAATAACATTATGTTTGTACCACTATTAAAGTAGTGCTTAGTACAGTATGTAATACAAATGTGTAGAAGAAGCATAACATATAGTAACTGTACATGACACTCCAGTGATGGCTGCTTGAAAAGGCTTGTATGGACTGCAGATTGAATTCTTGATTTCAGAGACTGAAAAACACTCATGTAAAAAAACAGAATGACCATACAGTATACTGTATACAGAACAGAATCATTTTTCAAGGTATTACAGTATTACAACAACAACATCACTTTATTAGCCCTATACAATTTCTTGCATTAGGAATTCTTCTTTTTGCATACCCCAGCTTGCTCTCCATGAGACAAACAGACAAGGAGAGAAGCCTGGGGTCAGAGTACAGGGTCAGCTATTGTACAGCACCCCTGGAGCAGTTGGGGTTAAGGGCCTTGCTCAGGGCAGGATTCCTCTGCCAGCTGCAGGATTTGAACTGGCAACCTTCCAGCCACAGGTGCAGATCCTTAGCCACAGAGCCACCACTCCGCCCCATTTTTTGTTTTGAAAAAAATCTCAGATGCTTAGTCTTATTTCTAATGAAAGCCCATCAAAGTTCAATCATGGTTCAGTCAAGTTCTCTGTGGCGAAGAACACATTCAAGAATAAAAGAAGAAAACTCACTTAGGGTTCAAAGTCTAGTTTTGATTTTTAATTTCCATTTTTCTCACCTGACTTTGGAAATTAATCATTTTTAGTTGTGACATCTCAGACAGAAAGTTCTGCTTGGCTTTAAATTATGTTAGTCATTGTTACAGTATGTTTCCTTTTTTTCTCATTGTTAAAAATAAAAGCCAAGTAAACCTGTGACCTTTGACGTTGTAAAATTAAGAAAAGGCTGAGACAAAACAAGGATTTTTCAACTCAAAACCTAAAGCATTCTGTGACTTTGAAACACTGTGACATCCATAAGGAGCCAGTAGAGTTATGTTTCTATTCATAATCACTTTTGCTTCCAATAACCCTTTTTCCCCAACTCCCACCTCATTGCACCAACACTCAAGAGCTTAGCAAAGAAGAAAAATGTTGTTTAAAAATACATCCTTTAACGGTTAAATCAGATTTTTTAGATGAATGAAAAAAAAATGATGTTGCGGCTGTTGCAATATTTTCAGTCAACTTATAATAATGTGTAATAGAGACAACTCGATACTGCTAAAATTGTAGAAATTCGTTTTTCTTTTTGCTAATTTCTGTTTTTCATCTTTCTCTTACTTCAATGGCAAAAGTGGTGCTTCACTGTTATATTTCCCAAGGGGTAACACCCAGCTCATGCAGAATAAAGAAATCTTAGCACTGTCACCATAAACCTGTCACACAGCCCTGCTGCGTGGATTCTCACCTCAACTGGAAGTGCTGGGATTCGAACTTGTGACTTTCACCATCATCTAATGAGGCATTTCTAATTGGAAAAAAGTCAAATCAATAAAACAGCTAAAACTATGTGCTGTAGAACAAATAAATATAAAAGTTTGCAAGTATAGACATTTCGAAAAAATTTGTATTTTTAAAGGGTCACAGCTGAGACAACAGGCAAAACTGAAAAGGATTGAAAGAGAGTTTCCGGACAACCCACAAAGAATGAACATGACAATATGTTCCAACACCATTTGACAGACCACATCTAACTAGGAAGCACGGACAAAACATCATCTCACAGAAAGAAACTTTCCCCACAAAGCCCTTACTTGTATTTCAATTTAAAATGATGATAAGGAAAAAAACTAGAATGTGCAATACATCTGAATTAAGAAGCTCGCTCATAAAAGTGGTGACATTACCCCCACAAAAATGTCTGAAGCTGAAGCTGTAATATACAGTAAATTAAACTTGAAAACTATCCATAGGATGAGTAATCTCAAATGCAAATAATTAAGATGCATGTGGCTTCTTGCAGTATTTATTATTACTGGAGTATGTACAGGATTTAATTTGTCTGGAATTATTGTGTAGGCCTGTGGCTGATTGAATAGATAGCATGCTGAATTAAACATGCTGCTGTTCACTCACTAAGCTAAATCAAAGCCATAGTCTTAATTTGCTGCACAGTGAACCACTTCTCCTGTTTTACATCGTGTTTTGGAGGATATTGGAGATCAATTGTGTTTGCAATATTTTGAGAATCAAGCAAAAACACATGGTTAGGTGGATATGCCTGGCTGTGGACAGATTATGTTTCTTAATTTCTGTTTTGCCCCGAGCTTCCTGCAGTATGAGCAGCATCTTCTTTCTTGTACTCACTCCACTACACAGTTTATTTACAGTGACCTGAAGCGAACGAATGGCACACAATGCCTCCATAGCTCATTTACTTTTAGGTCACAAAGACATATGAAAGCTGGCCAAAGAGGTAAGGCCTGAACCAGAAAGGCTGAATAGAGCTGTCTAAAATGATACAGTCAATCTAGGCAGTGAACAAAACAGGGCAATACACAAAATATAAAGTATTACAAAGTCCTTAACGTACATTTTTTTATGTTTGGCTGACGTTAAGTTGAACTCAAGTAAGGCTTTTATTAAAAATGACAAAAGCACCAAACATCAACAACACACAGTACTAGTGTACATGAGTACAAAGCAAGCTGATATTAAGTACCAATGGCTTTTGCATTGCTTGATAGTTTAAAGCTATCATTATTCACCTCATAACTCAAGTTTATACTAGAAGACTGTATAAATAAAAATATTAATTCTTATTTGTACAATTATTTTGTACAAAGATTTAGTTTCTTCATGGAGCTGAATTTATTGTCCTGATTTTCTCTTCATAATTCACCATTTTCATCAAATAATAATAACTAAAATAAAAAGCTATACAGCTAAAGACAACAGAAAAAGCTCCTTTTAGTAGTGTGTTTTTTAAGAGGAAGTCAAACGTGTCTGCACAGTGTCATTCTGAATAAGAAAGACATTCTCCCTCAAGGTTTGTATTCATAGATACTGTATTTTTCTGCCATGTCTCAATAAAACACTGTAAAGTGAAATCAAGTGTAGTGTTTTCACACCCCTTACATAACATTCAGTTAAACTAAAATATAATTCAGTCCACCCTCTTATGCACTGGTAGTTAACAAGTGTGCATTGCCTACATTGTATATTGCCACAATTCCAAAAAATATTTGTAATATTCTCGCATATCACAAATATAACATATGTACAGTAAAAATAATTTCAAATGTTGCAGACAATTAGAAGGTGAAATAAAACTTAAATGATATCAATGAAAACATATTACCAATGTTTCTATTCCTTTGTGTCATTTAGTGTTTAATAAAAAAAGCCTAGAAAAATGAAACAAGAAGTTCATACAAAATAGATGAGCTAATGCAAGCAGCACATGAAAAGTTAAAAGCTCTATTTGAAGTTTGGATTGAGCCTAGATTCTCTTTACTAAAAAGATGAAACTTTAAAAAATAAAAAAGCAATATTTAGAACATTAAAAACATTTGTAAGGGCTACAACTGGTGTTCATATATATATATTGAAATCTAACATAAATTTATAATATATTAATTATATATAAATGTCAGACTTAAATAACATAATGCATGAAAATATTTTTTTATTTAATAAATCTGTTGTGAACAAATCCTATATCGATAGAGCAGCAACGCAAGGTGATATAAGTATAAATCAACAGAAAGAACCAAAGTGAAAGAATAATAACATACGGTATATTCAATTTAATGATGAACGACACACAACTGTATTTGTCTATGAAACTCCATGACTCCTCTTCCATAAACAATCTATCCTCCGGCTAAGCTGAAATTAAAAATTGGATGACTAGTCATTTTCTTAGGTTAAATTCGGTCAAAAGAGAAACATAATTCCAATCTCATCCAATCTCATCCAATGTATTTTATTCCCTAACATCAACAATAATGTTCTTAGAAAAACACAATCAAGGACAGCTGATAAGAAATAGTATAGAAATCGTATAGAGTTATACTTGTGCAAGATTTCATCTGTAATCTTGTCAGTTCTTACAACAGTTATAAAAAGAAGGATTTAAGTTCCTATGTGCTGTAATAACACATTCACAGACTAATGTATTTTATGCAAAAATTACATTCTCATGAAAGTATTGATTTCTTTATTTTAACACAACCAAATACTACATAGTATGTGCAAAGTAAAAAAACATTGTCCTGACTGCTATTTACTGGATTACATTTCAACAGCAGAAAGTCTAGCTGTGTTACATAAAATATAGCCATATAATGGATTAGAAGATTAATTTTTGAGGTCAGACTATCCATAACACCTAGGCTAAATAAACCTCTCGGAAAAGACAATGACTGTCCATAATCCTTCCCTCATAAAGGGGTCATTTTCTGAACGTTGTGCTTGTGGTTAATTTACCAGCTTTATATTGATGTGTGCAGTGATTTTTTCTACAACAGCCACACTAAATGTAACTCTTTAATAAAAATCCATCATGAATTATCTTCAACAGTGAGAACTAAGCAGTATTTGCACTTTTAGTATTCATTTATTGCCAATATGTCAATTCTGGAATAATCTACCTTGCTACTGTACATCGTTGAAGCTAATGTCCTGGCTGCTTCTTTCAAGAATTGGCTGAATGATATTGTGAGATAAATTAGCTCCTAGTTACCAAAAAAGTTATATTTGCTTATTTGCCTCCTCTCATTTGTAACTTATGTTCTTATGCTATCAGCATACATTTGACATTATTTTTATTCTGATATTCTAAGCTTATACTGTATACAGTAGGCTTTATGAAGTATAACATTTTCAATCCACAGAAAATATGATCTGAAGTTGGCAGTGCCATCAATCAATGCCCAGACTAATAAACAGATATGTTGGAGATCAGGGAGAGACCACTTTGGCAAGATGCCTAAGTCTGCTAAACTCCAACCTGCAGGCAAAGAATCCCTTTTACTTCTACGAATATGCAGTAAAACACTGAAGTGTGCTTTTTTGTATGCAGCACTTTCCTTTTAATAATGAATCGTTCATTGTCGGGACACAAGAAAATCTTGGGAAAGCTATTGCCCAGCAGGAGATTAGCAAAGACTGAAAGTGATGACATTTTCACATATTAAAATCATAATAATGTTCTTAATATTTTATTACCTTGGAGATACAACACTTTCAGATTTTTTTATTTTATTCAAACACATACTTTCCTCTGAATGGGCTTATGATTCATGTACTGTATCTGTAGGCAGCTTTAAATTGGATAATTATGGATTATATTGGATAATTGGATCCTTGTAATCATTTGATCCCTACAATCATTCCATGAACCCCAGCATGAAGCCTAACTTTCAACTAATGTGATGCATTTCTATGTCTGTTCTTCTCAACAATTTTGCTATTCTGATAGGACAATTGTTAGTTGAAGACCAACTCTTAAAAAGGAACAAGAAAAGGTCTATTCCATGTTGAAAAGAAAAGAAACACAACATTTCGGCTGTGGAGCCTTTTTCAGGTGTGACACATACAGTAGGACATTTTAGAAGTTAAATTTCCTCTATAATAACTGTATCCTTATATAAGAGTTTGTAACATAAAACACAATAATGTATAAAGTTATCTAGTCTAATGCAAAAGGCAACTGTTAGTGCATCTAGAGAGCAAATCGTAAAAGCCTAAATGTTTTTAAAATACATTGTACAAAATAAAGAAAACTTTTAAAAGGATTAAAGACTGCAGTGCTGAGAAAAACCTTCAGAGATACCTGCAACCTTCTGCAAACAGTGAAAAAACTGAAAAGAGAATTTCCACGAGAGTCAGCAGGCTTCTCAGCCAGCCTTTACGAAATTGACACTTTCATATAGAGAAAAAACACATTATTGCTTATCAGCAACACTCAGATATGAGTATGTAGCCAGAAAATGAAAAAAAAACAACATCTTATAACATCATCTGTTCCAAAAATCTAAAACTTTAGCAATGAAAAAAGTTTGGTTTGGGGTTGGTTTGTGTTATTTTTTCCTGCCTTTCTAATTTAATTCATACCCTGGCAGATATCAGAAAAAAAACCTACGTTGCATCTATTGCTAGTGTTCTAATAATCTTGTGCCTTTCATTGAGTTGGGGAATAAGATACTTAACACAGTGAGACACACAGAAAACATAACATTACAAACAAGGCAATTGTGGTGTTGAGACAAAACAAAAACATTTCCATCTTTGTTGGCAAGGAACGCTGGTATAACATTTTGACCTCCACACACACAATGGTACAAACAGGATATCTACCTGTGAGCATTCTTCTCAAAAAAAGTGAGGTAATTACCGTAAAAATGAAAAACCATCCAACCTGTTAATGTCCTCTTCCCCAAGCATGTGTTTTGGAAGGGGGGAGTACCTCCCTGGTGAAATAGGGGGAAGACTGGACTTGTACTCCAGAGTGCCGTTGTTGCCAGGGGAAGAGATATGGTTTTCCATTGGTGGAGAGAATGCTGCAACACAAAAGACAGCAAGAGCACTTACACAATATCAAAAATCAGATACAGTATCATCTGAAGCCAACGCATGATGAAGTTGGGTTAGTTAAGTTCATAATAGTAATAATAAAGCCCTTCATCTGACCCTCCTCCACTTTATCTCTATGCCTAAAATATATTGAGAAGATGGGTCTTTAAATGCTTGCCCAGAGAACAGGTTAAGACTCAAGACTGGAACATGTCATTAGTCAGACCGGATTTCAGATTCCCCATTAGGTAAGGTGGCTCAATATGTGCCGAGTGTCACCTTAACTGAGTGCATTTGAATGTACAGTGGATAAGGTGTCAGCCTCATGCTAAAACGACCCCCTGGGGATGGACTGGTTACTGTGATTATGCAGTGGTGTCAGTGAGAGATGGACTGCTTTCCTAGAGAATATTAACTGTTCTGTAACTCTGATCCACTGAAATAAGAGAATGGACTACAAGGTCATCATCAGCATAATAAACACAAACAATAATGAAATACTCACAATGTGTGATGTCAGGTGGTCCATAAGGATCTGTTAAGTAAACACTTGTTGGCTTTCCCACCTTCAAATATACAACGTCTGATGTATTTTTCAGTATGGCTACAGCTTCCTCATGAGTTACTTCTTCCAAACTATAGTTGTTCACCTATAGGGAAAAGTGTGTTTTATACGTATAATAGCTATACGTATAATAGCAAAAACAAATCGAGTACCTACTGTACTGTATGTACAGCCATAGTCAGTTTATTTCATTATTACAGCTCAGTCTGTAATTATTTAAAGACTTAACTGGTTAAACTCCAGGCACAGTATCCAAACTAAATAAAAAGAGTACTGTACTGCTACAGAGAAGACAGAGCCTATAGGGTTAATGATTACTCATATTATTGTCTTTCTGAGTATTACGATTTTGAAAAGAAAGTTTCATTAAATTTGCTCTGACAAAAAGGCCCATTTGCTGCTGGATGAAAATGAGTCGATTCCTAATGGACTTTTCAATTCCTTTTATGCGCTGCTGCGCTGGTTTGTAATGTGTGCCAGACTTCCAAGCAGCTGCCATAAGCTAGATAATTACAAAAAATAAAACCTCCATTACACGGAGGCCTTTGTTGGTGGCTGAGATGGACATTTAGCTGGAAATCTCTCACCATAAGCAGCCTGTCACCAACTTGCAACCTCCCATCCTTCTGTGCAGCTCCACCATCAATGATTTTGGTCACATAAATGCTGTTGTCCCCGGGGATGTGCTGGTTTCCCACCCCACCTGCAATACTAAACCCCAGCCCTGGGGACAGGCAACATGACAGGAAGATGGAAAAGACAGAGTATCACATCAACCTGTTCACTCCCACGGCCAAGACATAAGAACATTAGAAAGGCGGTGAAGTCATAAGACTGTGAATTTGTTTCTTGCTTTCAACTTCGGCCATGAGCATTTAGAATGATTGTTTTCTCTTGTACAGAAGCAACAAGACCAGTGTTTATCTAGCTTTATCCAAACAGAGAGATGAATATACTGCAAAGACTATATCTCTGGCCACATTGCTCTATTTCTTTTGAAATTCCCGAACATCACTGATTTGTCACATTGCTCTACTGCACTTATAGTCATCTTTCTGTAGCTTGCTTTTCACCACTGCAGACGCTTCTAAGAAAAAATAGAGTGACAGATAAAAGGACAGAATGTTTTTGTTTATTCTCTTCCAAGTGCACAGTAGTCAATATTGTATTGACTAGATCTGTCAATCATTTGGGGTTGTTAGTCATTCTCCAGAAAGGGAGATTACAAGTTCCTAAGCAAACTTTTGTGCGCTAAGGAAGTTCAGTAACATACTGTAATAAGAAGCTCAGTAAGCTGAGGAGAGCATAAGACAATAGTCAATATTACATATTACTTAACTAGGTATGCTTTTTTTCTTAGAAAAAACAATATTCTTGGGTTTTATTATAAGAACAATAAAACAGGTTACTGCAGGGTATTTCTGATTTTACAGACATAATTCCCCTTTAATACATTTCTTCTGTTGAATCTGATATCCATTAAAGTGCAGTCTGTTAAATTGAAGGCTTACTTCAATAGAGTACAATACTTACAGTATCTTTTTTTGGGGGTTTGGATAGTTTGGGGTTTTTCATGCATTTGAATTTGTACTATTCTGATTCAAGCATTATGTTAAAATTATACATCAAACTTATTTTATACAGAAATCAAGTTTATGCAGTGGCCCTGTCTAAGTAAACTTTAATAAAGCCATAATTGACAACCTGTTCATTTATCTCATGATGAATATTACTGTTTTGCAACTGAGTGACTCTATCTATATGAGTATAATTTGCAGCACTCAGCAAAGGTACTGAAATGCATACATTGCATCTCACCTACTGCAACACAATTTGAAAAACTACTATCTGGTCTACGTTTTTGAGTACTAAAGGCTACGAAAACATTATTAAGAAATCATTTGTTCCGTGTGCCATGAAAAATCTCATGTATGAGCCCATTCAGAGCACTGTATTGACATAACATACAGTATACAGTGTACTGTATATATTGTATATTTGTCACACTTTAATCTTTCACTTTTTGCACTCTATTGCATTGCACTGTATTGTTATTTATTTTGCATGCATTGTACACATCTAGTAAAATCCACTGGATGTTTTATGTACTCAGAATTGCATTGTGTTTATTGTTGTCCCAGCGAGGGCAAACATTTCCACTCTGTGTGGGCAATAAATTAGATTCTGACTCTGCTGGATAGCAAACAAGGTAGCACGGGAAATTAAGTTATTCTTCCTGTGATTGCCTCAGAATAAAACTTTAATTTCTAAACCAGATAAAACCTACATAATTTCCATTATACAATCCATTGCAAATGCCTTGAGAACACCTGGGAACTTTCATCCTGTAGTCTGTGATTAGTTTGCATATTTAGTGACCATCATCTCAAACTAATAGTGTATTTAAATAAAATAAAAGCTATAGTAAACTAAAGTAATGTTATTGGATTATGTTTACACACTCTATGACTTAATTGTTTTGCTTGTTTAAAAAATCGAATTTAAAACAGATTTTGTTCTTATTTCCAATGACATTTTTAAAAACTTTAGTCAAAAACAAAATTAAAGGTTGGATCTATATGATGATAACATATGTAGCACCCATACCTCCACTTAAAATATCATACCTTTTGGTCCTTTGATGAGTTTAATTTCTATTACAGTCTCCAGCATTGGTCTTCGCCGGCGCACATAAAGCCGTACAATTGATCCTGCTACTTTAAGGGCCTCAACGGCTTTACTGTGCGAGACTTCAGAAACATCTACATCATTCACCCGCAGGATACAGTCGTTGACTCTGAAGGAGAAGGAGAATTTCACTGTTATAAAGGTCATTGCAAGCATTTCTGTCTCTGCCAACTGAGATGTAGCCTCCGGGATGGACCAAAAAAACAAACAAAATATGTCTTGATTACAAACTGCGGTAGACACATAATCCTATCAGATGGGCCCTTGTTCCCAATTACAATCTGTTACAGAGTATGAGTGGTATCAGACAGAGAACAGATGAAAGAAAGTGAGCAATGACAGTTCTTTTGTCCTGACACAAAAGCCAGGTAGAAGAAACTTTCTATTTGCAAATGTTTCTTTTTTCCCGTTATTGGTCTTCTATGCTGTTTCTGAAAAAATAAAACAAAAATTCTCATTTTCTTATTTGAAAAAATAATTACACTGCAAAGGTACAACGAAATACTGTACATTAAAACTTGAAATGCGTGTAAGAAATAAAGCATCATTGGGAGTTCATCAAGAAAACAAATGCATGACTCTGGGGATCATACACATAATAGCAGTAATCCTATCAATATTGTTTCACTGACAATATAAGAGAAAAAGGCAATCACATACAAATCTGGAATAGCTGAGAAGAGCAAGAAAGAAGCTACTGCACAGGATCAACACAAAGTTGTTCACAGAAATATTCAGGACCCTGGACAGCTCTTGGTAGCATACCTCTGAACTCGTAACATCCCCTGAAATCAGTCAATTGAACCAACATAAAACCTCACAATTGGATTCACACGCCTCTTGCACAAGTTTAAGGTGGTGAGACGGAGTGAGTGGGATTCAGTCTGATAAGTCCCTGCTTATCGCTAACAATTAGTGCATTCAGAGTTTTCTAATAACAATTAGACAAGAGATCTTGTCTTTCCACTCTTGTTTCTTCTATTCCCAAATAGTATCCTTAACTGACCAAACGTGAATGTGTGTGCTGAGTGTATGCCAGGTCTGACATTATGGTTTTCTAGCTTCCTCTCTTACAGCACATAAATGATGATCTACTGTAAGGTGTGAAGTTTTATATGATTCACAGAAGCCTATTCCTTCTCACACCCCATTAACAGCTGTTCATGGGGTCATACTACTGATGTTGTCTGATTACATGGTATGGTTCTGTTCTCAGTAACACTTAGAATGAAAGGACCTGACTGAGCAGCAATTGCAAATTCAATCCTGAATGTACTGTATTGATGGTGCTTGTCTGTTTTCGAACTTCATTAGTCTTGCGTATTGCCTTGGAAAACAAACCATTAATTTCAGTGTCTGTGTGATTTATTTAAAGCCCATCCTGTTCAATCTTCTTGAAAGTCAAACAAGGTTAGGGCAAAAAATGTATACAGCATAATTAGCAACCAAAATGATATTCACTCTGCAGTAAGCACAAATTTAGCCCAGCTAATATTTTATTGGCTACCTTTCAAAGCATGCATGACTGTTTCTAACAGACCCTGTCTCAGCATTCATCAGAGAAATTAAGGTTACTTCAAGGAAATAGAGTTGGTTTAGGATCCCTGCTCTTCTAAGATTAGTTCCACACTATTTATTAGACAGAAGACTGGACCTTTCTTGTTAGTGTCTCAAGACCCTACTATTTTAATTTTAGTTCCTTACTCCAATGATTACATTTCATCAATGTGTATCAATATACTAATAATATTTACAATAGAAGTATTTATGTATTGCTTTGTCCAAGTCAACAAAATGAATAAATCAAATGTAAAAGAAACACTAATTTAGTTCTCTTTATTATACTTGTAAATAACCAGTATGTAAAGGCATACAATTTCTCCTTCTTACTTATTTCCATAATTGTAAAACAACCTTACTAGAGTAAACCAATCAAATTTAGAGGAGTTGTATAGACTATTTTAATGCTGTTCTGGTAGGAAGTTAAGATGAATAATAACTGCTCATACCTGCCACTGGAAATGGTGGCAAATAACTACACTTACAGCTCATCCATTTCACTGTGATATAAAAAGCACTGAGCAGTTCAATCGTGAGTCACAGAAAAAGCTTTCTTCAGTGCTTCTGTTATCTTAATTGGAAAAGGTATGGCAGTGACAGTTGTTCTTTCTTTATTAAACTTGTTTCATCAAATCAAGCAAGAAAAAGGACAGTGCTGTGTCTTATAAAATCAGATTATACAGCCCTCTGTAATGTATTCTAATATCAATACATTCTTTAAGAAATTGATATGCAAAATAAACATGAGAAAGAAACCACACACTGTCATGCAGTCATTTTAATGACTGTAATATGTGTGTCTATTGCTTACCATTGAAAAGAATTTCTGGATTTGTTGTGGCCTTATCATAATTAACAATCTATCCAAATTGTTAAAGCCAGCAAGTTTCAGAAAGGTTCAAGAAAGCACAATACAATCATGTTAATAGAAACAGACTATAATATGAAACATTACTATTCATTTTCCCAATAATGCAGCAAAATAGCAAACTGAATTTCATATCTTTTGTATCTTCATATTTAGAATAGGCTCAGAAATTAATTTTAAAATGGCATTTTTACACTACCATTGACATTTTCCAATGAATTGATTGCTCTGTTTGTAGTCTACCTACCTGAGTCGTCCATCCTCTGCTGCAGCCCCGCCTGGAATAATTTTGGTAATAAAAATACCGGGGTCATCCCCAATGTGAGGGTTGTCTGTCCCTCCTGCGATGCTAAATCCCAACCCTGAGTTACCCTGCAAAAGTAAATTAAAAATGTATTTTAGATCTTCCAATGTGTATTCTATTTGATATATGTATGTAAAGGAACTATCATCTTGTTTTGCCTGAAAGACTGATTTTGTATTTTACAGCATGGAATAAAGCAGATGGGATCCTCGTTCAAATAGTCCAAGTGCTTTCATTGTGCTACTGTACATATTTGCAATTCAGCACTTGGCACAGTTATTTATACTTGTTTGTTTTTCAAATAAATGATGACTTATTGAATAGAGTCACCACCATTCAAGAGCAAACACTCAGCCAGATGACTAATAACCATTTGGGAATGAGCAGAACTACAGAGCTCAACCAGTTACTTTCTGTCGTATGTGTGTACTGTACCTAAATCATCATAGAGTGGAAAATCATACCTTTGTGGACTGTATAAGCATGACAATTTGCCATGGAGTTATATTATGTAACCATTCAATTTATTTAACCTTGAAAAGCTCACCTTTAATACCCAATTCTACAGTAATACTACATAAAAATCATAAAATTAGCTATGCACTTCTGAGACTGATGTGGTATCTAGTAGAATACATACTGTACAGCAGAATTGACTTTAGACTTTTTCGGCTAGAAAAATAATTAACTTTTTCAAGGCTAATTTACAGAAAATTACTGCAGTGTTGTGGGTGCCTACAAATTAAATTACATTTGTGCATATAGCAAATCTTTGTAAGGCTGCTACACCATTTTTGACTGTATGTTTTGTACTCCTTTCAACATATTTTTAGCTCTTTGTTCTTGGTGTCTATTTTTAATTCAACAAACCTTTGAAATTGCCATACACATATACTGTACTGTTTCTCAGCTAAAACACTAAACCTGCTAATTACAAAACAAGATGAGTGACATTTCACTCATCATCACAGCTTCTCAATGTTTTGCCACATCAGCCCCTCAAACAGAGTTTACAGGTGATAATAATCACTTATCCCAGGGCCCTATAAAATCAGTCTTGCATTGCCATACTTTAGACTGAAGTGGATATTTAAGGTTGTGGGTTTGTTTCTTCCAGTAGTTACAATATGAACAGAAAGCAGCTGTATGCAGTGTACATCAAACACATGTACAGTGTTCAAAATCGTTAAGATTAATAAAAATAAAACACTGTAAAGAGGACAACTCTTTTTACTAAATTGGAATCTGGCAAAGAATCAATGAGTTCTAATTACTTTTTAAATTAAGGTATGCATTTGGAAGTTATACACAGAAAATAAATACCCTAAACTTATTTTACAAAATGAATGCCAGGTTTTGATTTTAAAAAATTGAGCTGGTAGACTAAGAGCTCAAAGTAATATCTCCTCTTGATTAAAATGAACTGATGATCATTTTTGTGTACGTATTTGTTTTTCCTAAATTATGAATGGTATTCAGTTCCCCTGGTTAACAGATGGCTAGAGGAGAAGAGCAGGCTAATGGTGTCAGTAGTGAAATGTGAGGAATATAGAAATTGTTCACTTTCAGCATCTGACAGTATTCCCTGCACATTTCAAGCATGTCACCCAAGCATTGCAGTAGAGGTCACCTTGCAGAAGCTTAGCGACAATGACTGAATATCAAATAATGGCTTTCTTTACTCCTCCAATTCAGTTTTTATTGCTGTCTTCAGCCAACAGTATCCAAGAGTATGCTAAAATGGCATGGAAACGTACCTTTTCCTTTATTTTAAACACAATGTTTCTCAGTCCATCTCTTAAAATGTCACATGTTGTTCCATAATCCTCTTATCTATCTAGGTTATATGACACTACAGCGGTATTTCTCATGCAAATCCAGTATTTAGATTTACCGGTAGCTCCAATATGTTATGACTGAAACAAACTGTAAAATCATGGTGCAAGGCTTATTCCCTGTAAACTTTTTTTTTAACAAGGTTTATACTGCTTATGATTAGAGATGTAGTCCTTGCAAATAGAACAATATCAATTAGCACAATGAAAGGATGATAAGCAGTTCTTTCCATCACATTTTGATTCTTTACCTGGTAAACGCAACTAATCAATGCTATAAAAAGTAATTTAAAAAATCTGCATCCTCTTGTCAATAGCTTGCTTAGATGGGCAATAAGACTGTCCTTCTTTTTCCTTACTTGACAGGATATTTATGACTGTTCCACTTGTGTGTATCAGAGTGTGGTGGAATCATTTTCAACTCTGCAGTCTCATTGCAGAAAACCTTAGAGATATTAATGATGTTTACTGATCCATGACATAATATCAGCCCACTGCTTAAACACTGTCTACTGTACATAGGGGCAAGCAGAAAAAAGGATGGTATAGATATAGATGGTTCTGCCTCATCTGAGAGAGAAAGAAGAATATTGTAAGGAGTGTTTTAATTCAAAAATAAATCTTTCACAGGTTTGATTTTAGTTATTTCAGAGAAAGTTTCCTTTTGTTTCTTTCTACAGTGGTGTCATGTATTACTGCTGGGGTTTCTGGAAGAATAAAGCTTAAAAGAATGTTTTTATTACCATCATGAAACATTTACAGACAGTGTCATCATCACATCTGTTACAACCAACATTCACCGAACAAGCTAGATGGACCACATGGCCTCTCATTTACAAGCTTTATGTTCACATATACTGTAGATCACTGTATAATAAAGAATGATGTTCTGGGCACAACAGGCCAATAAACTCCACTAGGAAGACAGCTGTGATCTGTAATGGTTTTCCCTGAAGATGACTCTGATAATGTATAGTATATAAGAGAATGCAACACAAATGACTGCATAACATATACTGATGCAAAAGAAATGCAGTGCTCAGGTCTAGCAGATACAATAAAAATTCTCAACACTGAAAATAGGGATGAACATACAGATCAAAGATGCATGATATGTTTTCAGTTTGACACTGTCAAAATGAAAACATAATGAAGTTAGTAATGTGTATGACCTCCCTGGCACTAATAGTATCTTGGCATCACACTGAGATGTTGACCTGATTAGACCATGGGCAGAAAGTTTGTAGGACTTTTGCTAGAGAGCAGAAATTGTATAGTTATGGTTACCTTTTGTTGATGACATTGACCATTGGGTCCAACATATGCTCTATTGGATTTAGCTCAAGCCATATCCAGACTTTGACATTGTCTGCACTCATGCCTTTGTAGCCTGAGCACTATGGCCTTGCAAGGTTCTACTGGAAAACTAACACTGTCAGATTGCCAGAAAGGAAAACCTATTGGCTCAAGACCATATCAATGTATTAATGCACAGTTATACTGCCCTAAATCATGCCAATCCTCCACAAATCATCACACTTCCACCAACCTATTGTTTGGCTTGGAGAGTGCAAGAGTCAATATCATGATCATCATTATATCTCTGCACAGAATATTTTTTGTCAAATCTTTTAAGGGGAAAACAACATTCACAGATGAATCAAATATTAAAACACTTGTTTTTCACTCTCTTCCTCCACCTAAAAGGTTCTCTGGCCCACAGAAGATGGCGATTTTTTACATCACGTTACACCTGATCTGCCACTGAACCTGCAGAGTATTATTGCGCAGAGAGCCAGCTACAGTCATTCTGCTGATGTACAGGTTATTTCTTCCCGGAATTGTCAGTCCTGCAGCCCCATTCTGAACATGATTACACAGATGGATCAAACTGATGTGACAGTCCTGGGCCATTGTGTTGGCTTCCTGCCGTATAGGACATGGCTTGTCCATCAATGAGCCAGCTTTGTTGTTTTTTTCTCTGAACTATTCTGCTGTTTGTTGAAGTGGAACATCTCCCTCTTTGCGCAATGTCTCTCAAGAGGCAGCCTTCAGTCATGCTGATACTGAGGTGGGGAGTAGTCTTATCTTTTACTGTTCTTGTGTTAATTAAATAATGTCTTATTGAATGACTTTTCATACAAGAGTTTAATGAGCTTGTTGTATAAATTCTACCTCAACACAAGGACAAAATTTTAAGCACTTTTTTGTATTTGATTACATAACGTAAGTATTTTGTTATTCCAAGGAACAGCACTACTCAAAGTTCTGTGACTATCTAGTCTCTATTAAAATGTTAATACATTTGTATGGTAAAAATTGAGTCTCAAAAGAACACTCTAAGGATCAGTCAGAAATAACAAAAAAGTCTCATTTCAATGTAATTAATCCTACTTGCACAGTAATGCATACAAATGAACCTCAGAAAAGATCATTCCACATCTTTTATGTAATTAAATTATACAGTAGGTGCGAAACAAATACTTTTCAGTGACTACATCTTAATATAAAAAATAATTATCATCAGATTTTTACTATCTACTATTTTTATTTATTATAATTATCAGCAATCATATTTAAAGATAACACTTACCCTTTCCAGTGTAATTTCTTCAAATTCATATTCAATTTCTGTTCCATTTACCTAAAGACAAAAATTGATTGATTGAAACTGCACTTCTGGTCCTTTGGATCAGTTTCACAATTAAAAAAGGTCTATATCTCAATCATTTTGTACATGGAAAGAATACCTTAATTAATCCATAAGAAAACAGTTTCCCCCCAGGAAATACTCATACCCTTAATAAAAAACTTGACCCAGCGTTCACTTTAATAGGTCATGAATGTTTGTTTTCTTTCTGTAACACAATACGGTTTCTCCACCCAAATACACTTGCATTAGTCACACAGTTTTTGTTTTAAAGCGTTCTTTCTTTTTTAGGCTGTAGCAAGCCCACCTACAGTAGCTAAATGTCAAACATATTTTAGGACAAATATGACAAAGGCCAATCTCTGCTTGCAGTGTTGCACACAATACAACCTTAAATGAGGTTAGAGGAACAGCATTGACCTATAAATGCTTTTACAATTTACAGGAAAAAAAAACTATAGATTTGTTCATGTAGTAGGAAGTAGCTTAGTTGGGAAAAATCACAGTCATTTTTTCTATTTCTAACTAGATTAATTAAATGCAAATTGCATTGCACAGAGTATCTGGAGAAAACTGTACAATGATATCATCACACCATTTCATTAGGGATTACTTAACTACCACATTACAAAAAGTTTCACCTTGTTGACACAAACAATGGTATTCTGCAGTAATGCTTAAGTGATTGACATTACTGATGCAAAGCCCTGCAAAACATACTTAAAAACATAACAAACACATTTCAAAACAAGAAGAACTTTTCACCCACATCACAATACTCCATTTCTCCCCCAGATCAGAGGCTATATATCACCAACTCTGAGTTTCACATTAAAGCTAGGAACCTAGAAGTGAAACCCTAAATTGGATGTGGAACAAGTACATTCCAATGAAAAGCAAATGTGTATTTAATAAAGAACATCTATAAAAGTAAAATATATGGTAAACAACTGGATGAACTGTACTATGTAACTGTAAATTTCTTTCTCTTACTCAGCTATGAATTTGAAGTCAAGCGGTAATGTAATATTGATCAGACAAGCAAACTGATAAAATGTGGCTTATTGATTAATTTATATATATATCAGAAAAAAATAATCTTACATGATTATTGAAGAAAGTGTTGGTTTATATATCCATAATAAGAAGATAAAAATTAAATCATGACAGTAGAACAGGTGATGAATAAAGATAGGAGAGGACTTTGTCTAAAAAAACCTAATCAAATCTAGCTTTAATGAACCTTTTAATAAGAGTCACTCAAGTCTATCATTAAAACACTCCTTGTACAACATTTACATAATGATGTATCAAACCCAATAACCATATAGAGTTTTAATTAAAAACTGACAACCTAAGATGGACCTGGGCTTATACAGGACAAACATGCTCACAAAATGTATTCAGAACCTGTCTCAGCCAAGATGAGCTGGTTTCAAGGACGATAAAATGTTATTTCAAAAATGCTTTACCACTAATGCCGGATAGAAATGCTGCCTTCAATAATGATGGCTATAATTTTCTTTTCAACAGTAGCTTGCTAATGAACTCAAAGGTGAAAAGATTTGCCATTTTTTCCACCACAGCATAGTACATAGATATTCAAAGAAGGCAGCCATATGTGAATGAATATTTATGTCTGGAGTATACATACATGTACGTTCACATTAGAACTGCAAAAAAGGGTCATAGCGAATAAAACAATAACCACCACCAATGCTGACAAAACAACAATGTAATTTTTTCAAGCAACTGCCTTTGATTTCGATGTGTTTATATACAGTAGCTCAGTGTTAGCTCATGGCAAAATAAAGTAACTGCTGCATTTATCACTATTATGAAGTTTGTGGTTATACAGTATATACAATTTAAAGAAATCATACAATTCTTGTCTCATCCCTATGCCATTGTCAACACTTTAGTATGTTTGATTTCTACACTGTTCGAACAGTAAACACAGTGAATAAAGTATATGATTTCCCTTTTTGACAGAAAAAGCCCTTGACCTTAAAATTCTTTAACGATTTGAGGTTGTTTTCTTCTTGTGATTATCAACCTATGGCATGCTGAAAAAAAATTAGCTTTCATGGGCAATTTAAACCCAGTGAGCACGCTAATTTACAGCTGGGTCCCCTGCTGCTGACAAAATAAACAGAGACAAGCCTTAAAGCCTTCTGTAATCTGTTCATTAAGTCACTGTCAGCCCATTGCAGCTATGGACTTCAGATCTCATTTTCAACTTTTTTTTCTTTAAGAAGTTCCATCGTTTGCCCCTACCTGGGGTTGAACCCTGGACCTTCCAGCCTTGTCATCTGAGCTACCACGGCTTCCGAAGTTAAAGGAGGATTTTAGTATACTAAATTAGAATAGTATTTGGTCTTGTATACGCATTGAAATGTATGCTCTTGTACAATGATTGATTTTAAATAATTTCTGATTTCGAAGTTCCATAGAGTTGATTTCGTAGCAGTCCTCCAACTACCAGAACAGCTGGTTTGGCAAGACTTCATAACAATGTTAATTTGTTAACAGAATAAGCCATGCCTTTTATAAAATTTTGAGTCAATACCCTTAACAGAGGGAAATATAGCAGAAATAAAGCTTATAGACCCTATTCTTTCTGGAATAAAGGACAATAAAACTAATACTTTAAACTTGTCATATAAAGACATATACATTACAAAGTACACAGTACATAACTAGTATTTGCAGTATATATATTTTAGGCCTGTCCCAAGCATCCTGACTTTTTTTTTTTCAAAACTGGCAATGGTTCTGGAAAGCAATGTGAGGGGAACAAAGGAGAAAGAGCTGTTTTCAGATTAAGGATAAACGATCACCTTAGAGGCATATATTTCACAACTTTATGTCCATACATTATCTTGTGATTCAGATCTGGCAATATTACCTAAATATATTTTTTTATCTTCCTACTTATTTCCTGCAGTTGATGTCTTAGACATTAGCTTGAATTTCCACTCATAGCAATCACTTGACATTCTTCCTTCTGGGTCACCAACCTCAGAGCCCTCACTACCTGCTTTTCAGGGGAAGAATAACAATATCGGCAATACATATCTCGAGTAAGTGAAAATGATTCAATGAAAAGGCACGTGGGACGCTGTTTAAGGCGAGTTTGAAATAATCACAATTTCAAACGAAATATTTCAGTATGGAAATGAGCCACACACTCAATACTAAGACAACCAAGGGATTTCAACATAAGTAAAACAGCTAGCATTCTACAAATTTCAGAGGATTGATGTTGGAAAGCATCTTGCTAATAATGGAGGTGTTCACATCATTTTGAAAACCTTATATGTCATCATTAAAAGCTGACAATAACAGCAAAAAGAAAGACATAAAGATCAGAAATAATACTTGCTCCACTAAAAGCCTTAGACACCAGAAGCTCAAATAGTAACACGAAATTAAAGTCACGTAAGGGTTTATGTTGCTGTTGTTCATTAAGCAGTATGTATTAGTTGAGGACAGTGTCAGAAATATTTTCCGGTCAAGAAAAATGTGCCCTTTACATCTTGCTCCCCTGAAGATGTGACCTAATTATCTAAAGCATGGTAGCATCTGCATAGTCAGATTGAATGTGCATTTTAAGTCTGAACAAGGGATGTTTTTTGTTCTTAAGGTGGCTTCCAATTTGTTAGATTTGTATAACCTTGAATACAGTACCCCAAGGTAAAAAGAAAAACAAAGCATCAATTTACTGTATATTTCCCTTAGCAAAACATTTGTGATTTTTTTTAGTTTAACATGGCTGTCTGGTTGTTTAGGTCAGTGCTGTGTAAAACAATCTTTACATTCCTACATGTAAGTTTGCATCCAAAACTACTTTATAATGTGCAATATTTATTAAGTAGCATCATAAATGGAGCAGGAGCAGTTTTTAATAAGTGTCTTTCAGATGAAAACTCTTTAATCAATAGACCCATTCTCAAGACCTTTCTCAAATCTAGTACTGTAAATGATGGCACATTAATGAGTAATAAGCTCACAATACTACATGATATTGTTAAATACACAGATATTAAATATTTAAAACAGTTGAATCTCAACTGTAAACTAATAACATTTTATCTTTAATAAAGGTATGAGTATTTTCATGAGAACTTATACCATTAAAATAAGTTTTCGAGTCCCCACCTGTATTAAAACCACAATTACCATAGTTCATCCATATTCAACTCTAAGTTGCAAAGGTTGTTTATACAGAAATAGATTACACCTGAATGAAATGGACACCCTTCAGCAAGAGGAAAGGATCTCCCAGAAATCTGGAAACATTCTAACTGAAAATGTCAAATGACCAGGTAACGAAATGCTTTTACTAAAAACAGGAGCATTAAAAATAGCAAGAGACAGATAGAGACACTGTGTTTACATGCTCATCTGATGTACAGTAAATCACAGAAATATGGATAACATATGTTATAGTGAAGCATACGATATTAGTGGATATACAGCCCTCTTCAGAGAAAGGAACGATGGGAAATGTGCAGGTGTACAGGAACACAGCACATCAAAATGACCATTAACTGTAGACACACGAACCTATTCTACTGTAGATGTATCTGTAGATGTCTGAAAAGCTAAATATGTTGGACTCAAACTATTCAAGGTGTAGTGACAGAAATGTGCTTCAGATCATCAGATTTACTGTAGATGTCAATTATATTTCAACCTTATATAAAGAAATCAGTAAATGTGTAAAGTAAGAAGTAGTCATCCTGGGAGATTTCAATTTTCCTTACATTCATATTGGGAAACACCAATATGAATAATACCAGAAAAAAATAAATGGAACCTGTTATCATTCTAGACCCCAAGAGCCAATTTTCTCCCTTTAAATATTTTTTTATATCTCTGCAGCAGAACTTAGAAGAAGCCTGTTTCAGGTCTTAAATAAAAGCTAACCCCCTTGGCTTTGAGTGTGAATAAAACACATTTCTTATATCTCTTGATGTGTCCACTCAGCA